CCTGCGGCGCGCTCCGCCGCCGTGCCGGCGCGTCGCACTGAGCCTCGGTCGAAAGCCGGGCGAGGGTTGCTAAAACCGTGGCTGCTAAAACGGCCCTCCCGGAAGAAAAAGCAACTTCCCAGAATGAGGCGCGGCACGCGAAACAGTCAACGGGCTTCTTCCCGGAAGGACGAAGACAGCATCCCGGAGGTCGATTTTAGCAGCCACGGATTTAGCAACCCTTGCCCGGCTTCCGACTCGGGAGGGGCTGGTGCACGCGACCGGCCCTTGGTGCGTGACCGGCCCCCAGTGAAAGTGAGTGGGGGTGTCCGCGTGGGCCCCCGGAAGCCCGAGTGATTTTGGGGTGGACAGAGGCCCCACCCTGACGCGTCGATTCGTGAGTTGTCCCTTTTCGGTTCTCGAGAGGGCGCCGCGGCCGTCATTTTCCAGACTTGCGCCCGCCAGGTTTGTGCACGAGGTCGCTTTCACTAAACCACGCTTTACTAAAGGGTGTTCTGTCCACGCCCGAATGAGACCCGACGTGGCGCCACTTGGAGTCATACGACCAAGACGCCGCAATAAGGACCACTTCGGGCTCTGGAGGGGCTCTGGTCTTCGGACCGTTCCGTGCAATAGCAGCTCGACCACAAGAAACCTTCCACAAGGAACCCAACCCTGAGGCCCGAGGACGCCCATTGATTTTTGGTGTGGGGACGTCACGCTTTCCATCGTAGAAGCATCGAGAACCAAGGAACCCAGGGCACCCTGGAGGCAAGCAGGGTGTTTCCTGGACTGGGTTCCCACGGTCTCACTGCAGAGCCAAGTCGGGGATCTTGCTCGCAGCCGAGACTCGCCGTGGCCAGAAGAGGCCCCTCGTTCCTTGTTTCGCGCTCCCCGTGTCATCACCGCGGCCGTACTGCCCACCAGCGTGCCAGCGGGCACGGTGGCGGATCTGTGGAGAGACGCAGGCCGCGCCAGGCCCCCACGGGGCGGCGCTCGAAGGAAGGGCCGGCCCGGCGGGGCACGCCGGGGCGAGAGGGGGCTTTTCCGCGCGGCTTGCCAATGCAGGCGCGCGCCCCCCGAGGCACTCCTGTGGGAACGAAGAACGACGCAAACATGAAAACTCGGAGGTCCGCGCGGATTTCTCGGATCCGCGCTAGACCCCCCTGGCGGCGCCTCCGGCGCCGCCCCTGTCGCGCTCCGCGCGCCAGGGAGGGGGGCTCAGCGCCGATCCGAGAAATCCGCGCCGACCTCAGAGTTTTCATGTTTGTGTCATTGCTCGCTCCCCTAACTCTGCCTGCGCGGTTCGCCTGCTTTTCGGTGGAGTGTTTCTCCCGGGATGTAGCGGCAGCGAGCACGGGGGGGGCAGGGCAGGGTCGGGTGGGGGGGGGGACGAGGGGGAGGTCAGAGGAGGAAAAGGTACCGTCCCTCGTCTTCTCTTTTTGGGGCCTCTGGGAAGGCCCTCGTTGCCACGGCTGGATTCGCTCCGAGATTCTGGTCGGAACGCACTTTGTGATAGGTCCTGGGAGTAGCGGTGCATGTGTGTCGGAAACAATTAAGCAACATTCACTCGTGACATATGGTCTGAGCTCCCCCCCCACTCCCCACGAAAGCAATGTTGGGTTCGAATCTTCCGAGCTTGAGTGTCGGACCAGTGATGCGTACACGTGCCAACTGTGAATTGTGGGGGGAGGGGGGAGTGTTGCTTAATTGTTTCCCTCAACCGTATTGGTATCTTTTAGGTTCCTCCACACAGGGGGGGTAGGATGGGGCCAGGACGAGGGTACATCCGTTCCAGAGCGTTCTGGAACGCTCTGAGAAGGCCGCGGCGCCCGAGACACCCTCCCGAGTCGCCAGATCTCAGAGATTCTCGATTCATCCTCGCCCGATTTTGTCCTCGTCCTGGCTGCGTCGCCGGGGGGCGCGCCTCGCGAAGAGGCGCCCCCCGCCCCCCGCACTCCCAGGAGATGTGGAGAGGGAGCACGGCCCCCTGGAGTTAAGTCGGGCACGTCCCTCTACAGGGGGAATGTTCGAAAATTGTAAAAACAATAGTCTGGGGACGATTTGTTGACTATTTTTGAATATTTTTGGGGCATTTTTTGAGTATTTTTCATTTTTCGCCCAAAAATCCCCTTGGTGGGGGGGGGACACGCCCGACTTGACCCTGGAGGGTGCCGTCCCCTTCCTGGAGGCCCCTCTCGCCCGGCCAGCTCCAGGGGGGGCCGACCCCATCCAAGAGCCCCCCCCCAGAGATCCGATACTCCAGCAAAATTGGAGCGGCGGGGTTCTGACTGTTTTCGGCCTCTGGGGGCCCTCGATGGCCTCGGGACCGTCAACACAATTATTCGGAACGAAACAACTGGCCCCAGGAAAGTGGTCCAGACCTCTGAGGCCCACGCATCGAGGAAATTGGAGCAGCCGGATGTCTGGGCAAGAGCCCCCCCCAAAGGCCCTCTCAGAGGGTCTAGGCCCCCCCCAGGGGCGCGAAGATCATCGCGCTTTGCGCATCGCGGCGTGCTTTGGAAAGGCGCCCTTCTCCAGGGCGCCGGCGCGAGGGCGCGAAGGCAACCGCGCGCCGCGCATCGCGTGCGCGATGCGCGAAGTAAGGTGACCTACAGTCAACCCGCACAGTAAGTATGAGCGACTTTCCAAGCTTACCCTCGCGTCCTTCCCCCTCGGGCCATCCTTGGCCGCTTTCGCTGGCCGCGCCCCGCTCGCAACGTGTCGACATGGCCCTCCAAGGCCCTTGCATCCTTACCGCGCATCCTTCCCATACGGGTTGACTGCGCTGTCCTTATGGTGGTGCGAAGAACTGTGCGCTGCATGCGGCGTTGGCGCGCAGGCGAGGTCGGCAAGAGCGTGCAATGTTGAACTCCGCGTGCTAGAGGGACGCGGAAGCACAGAGGGGCACGGTAACGCCACAGGACCCGGCGGAATTCAACCCTGAACGATCGGGGCCGCGACCGGTTCAAGGTGGAACGATCGACGCGGTGACAGCAGAAACCTTTTTGCGCGCGCGGACACCGCACGAACCTACAGCCAAGACGCTGATGCAAGGAACAATTTGGGTTCGAAAGGGGCTCGATGTCCCTCGGGTCACTCCGTGGTAGCTCCTCTTGCCCGCCTGCACCTGGGCGCCGCCGGTGCCAAACAGGGGCTCCGTTCCTGATCTAGCTAGCGTCCCTTGCTGCAACAGCCCGGCCGCACCGCAGGAGGGTACCCCCCCCCCCCTGGGCCCCCGCCCCCCGCCCTGCCCCCCCCCCCTCCTAGTAAGTCGGGCCTGTCCCTCCACAGGGGAAATGTTCAGAAACAGTCCAACAAAATGGTCAGGGGACTATTTTGGGGGTATTTTGTTTGACCATTTGGGTGTAATTTTTTTGCGTATTTTTTCTTCGCCGAAAATCCCCCTGTAGGGGGACACGCCCGACTTAACGCCCTCCTGCCGCGCCGCCAGGGGCGGGGCGAGGCGGCCGCCAGGCAGGGCCCTGCCGGGCCCTGCCTGGCCACGCCCTGGTGGCCACGTGCCGGGAGGCGCTCAGCAGCAGCGACGCCCTTGGCTCAAGCAGTGGCGAAGCGTCCTGGCTCGCCTATAGCCCTGCCAAACAAGTTTCTAAGAACCTTTTGTGGTTCCCACGAAATGTTCTTAGAGCATTTCTGGTTGGGACTAACTTGTTTTATCACATCGGGTTCATGTTCTAAGAACACTGTGCTTGTTCTTAGTACATCTCTGGGTTCTAAGAACACTTCGTGGTAGGACTATAGGAATGCCGGGACGGTCGGTCCCTGCTTAACTGGGTACTACGGGTCGAGGAAGCGCCGGCCTGGACCACGGCAACGGCTGCCACTTCCGCAGGCTTCACCGAGCGCGTTCCATTATTCGCAACGCGCCTACTCGCAGACGTCCGAACAACATAAGTCTGATTTCATGCAACATATCGTAGATCCCCCGCGGGGGATCCGGGCGATTTGCGAGCAGTTCCGTTGCGAGCAGTGGAACGCGCTCCTCTAGTAGGGGAGCGAAGAATTACACAAGCATAACAACTCGGAGGTCTGCGCGAATTTCTCGGATCCGCGCGGACCTCCGAGTTTTTATGATTATGTCATTCTTCGTTCCCCTATTCCGCAATCGCCGTGATGGCCACCACCCCTAACATCTGCCGATCTGCTTTTTAATCCGCGGCCCCAGATGTCTCGACTGCTACCCCGTGGGTATCGGCGAAGAGCGAGGTTGGGCATGCTTCCACTTCGCTGAACCGATTTGAATATGCTCGCGTCGCCCCAGCATGGCGAAGATGGGAGTCTGAGTTTTGCAGGATGCAGTAGAGTAGCGCCACGGTGCTTTTCCACCCCTCCCGGTATTGGGACAGGCTCGCCTGATGCGGTTGTCCGTCCGTCCGTCCGTGGTGGCGACCACCCCTGACATCCGCTGATATGTTTTTCCAATCCGCCGTCCGAGATGTCTCGCCCGCTACGATCGGACCGAGGTATGAGATCGAGGTCAGTTCGGGGAGGGTACCTTGGTGCTCTTCGTGCTCGTTGCATGTTCTCGTGCATCCTGGGGGAGGGCACCCTCGACTGTTCTTCGGTTTGGCCGGCGGAGGGTCTCACGTTCTTGAAGGACGTGTTTCCGTCCTAGATCCGGCCGTATCCGAGGCGGGGATTTATCCATAACCACCGCCTGGGGGTCGATTCTCGGGGACGTCGGCGGTTTCCATGTCCACCGCCCGCTGGCGTCCTAGGACGTTGGGTCCCAGGCGGTGGATATATATATATATATATATATATATATATATATATATATATATGCCCGTACTTGTACATTGATCTTGGGGCCCCTCTCGAACGAAGTTGGCCGAATCTCGTTACGCGGACTCAGACAGAAACCGACCCCTTTCAACTAAAAAGGGTCGGTTTTTCTGGTGGCAAGCTAGAATCTTGCCTATGTGTTTTCCGTAACTGTCTTGCTCAGGCTTAATTTGTGGAGAGGCCACACATCCCCTTTCTGTTCGCTCTCGCAGTGGATGTGGAGCGACCTGGCTGGGCTGGCGGCAGGGCTGACGCACAGCTACCTGTCGAGCTGCCCTCGGTGCCCTGAGCACCACTGCCCCGACTGCAGCTGTCGGTGCCCGAGCATCCCAGCCTGCCCGAGCTGCCCGGCGTGTCCGGGCGCGCCCCGGCCGCTGCAGGCGGCGCCGGAGGTGCAGCTCGAGTTCGGGCTGCCGTGGAGCTGGGCCGCGGGGCTGCTCGCGCTCGGAGGCCTGGCGGGCGCCTGCGGCGCGGAGGCGCTGCGAGGCGCAGCGCAGGGCTGCTGCTGCCGCCGTCGCGCCGCGAAGGATGCCGGCGGTGCTGAGCAGGCCGGAGGCCCCGAGCTGCGCGTGGGTGTACGTCCTCTACAATGGGGAGGGCGAGCTGTGGCACCAGAGGCGGCGCGTCGCGAGCTCAAGGGTGTCTTGGGCGATTAACTACATCCTGACCCCGGACGGGGATTGCTACCCGGAGAAGTACGATTTGGAGGAGCAGAACATCTCGGCGGTGAGGTACGCTGAGGCGCGCTGGCCGCCCCCGCCGGGGCTGGCGCGAGGCAACGTGTACAGGTTTCGCGCGGCGCCTTCCCAGCAGGAGCTCGACGACGCCGCGGATCAGGCTGAAGCGATGGAGCGGACGGAGCATCGGGCCCGCGAGACGGCCGCCGGGCGCGACCCCACCGTGGTGCCGCCAGGGGGCTACATCGAGCGCTTGCCCTGTGCTCAGGGCGCCGGCGCCGCGGGCCCCCCGGCCGCTCCGGCAGGGGGAGCCGCCGTGGGTGCGGCTCCCGCCGCCGCTGCTGCGGGGGCTGCCGCCGCCGCGGGAGGACCTCGGCGGGTCGGCGTCCCAGCAGGAGGAGGAGGAGCAGGTGCTGGTGCTGGCGGCGGTGCCGCTGGGGCAGGCGACCAGACCGTGGTGTGGGTGGTGGTGGAGACGACCGAGCGTCATCGGCGCGGCGAGGAGCTGGCCCTGCCCGCTGGCGCCGTGGTGCTTGGAGAGAGAGCGCTCGCCACCACGCCTCGTGGGTCGTCCCTCTGCCTTCGTCAGCTGAAGCGATGCGAGGTGGTGGGCTGGGTCGGAGCCGAGGCACCCGGCGACGCGAGGATCCTGGGCGTGGACCTCGGCGACGCGGGGCGGCTGCGAAGCCAGTGGCGGGACATTGTCGGGAAGTCCAGCGTGACGGACTTCGCCGACTGGCCCGTGGTGGGCCCGAGGACGGCCGAGTGGTGCATGCTGTTCCTGAACCGCCGAGGGGGCGGGCCGATGGATCACCACAGGTATTTCATCGTGCTCCACGGGCTCGAGACGGGCGACTGGGGCGTGGAGGCGCACCGCATGTGCCTCAAGGCGGTGGAGGACGCGGCCACCTACGACCACCTGGAGCTCTGCAACCTCGCGAGCTTCGAGGGCCTGTTCCGGCAGGCCCAGCTGGTGGAGCACGTGTACGAGCAGCAGCGGGTCGCGAAGCTGGCGAGCAACAACAAGGGCAAGAAGGGCGCTGGCAAGGGCGGCGGGTTGCTCGACGAGGCCCTGGTGTTCACTGGTCAGCGCCGGGACGCTGGGGCCGTCATGCTGGCGCCGGAGTTGATGGACTTCGCATCGCGCGAGGTCGAGAGGGATGCGAACATCATGAAGCAGGTGCGGAAGGCGCGGGAAGAGCGCCGGGCCCTGAACAAGAAGAAGGATGGGGAGTGATCGGGCGGGAGTTCCCGCCCCCCGGCCCCGGCCGCCAGCGGGCGCCGCCAGCGGCAGGGGCGGAGGCCAGCCTCCACAGTTTTGCAGTCTTCCTCACGAGCGACGACGAGTTGCCCGTGAACTTCTTCCGCCCCCTCTGCCTTCGAGCCGATCGCCATTGTCTGAGCTGGTCGGGGAAGCGGGTGGTGGGGGCAAGTTTTTGAGCCATGCAGTCCGCCGGCGAGGACATCGGAGGCGTCATCATGAGGACGGAGTCTCCGGGACCATCGCCACCCTCAATGAGCTGTGCGGGGGATCAAACCACCCGAGCGGCTCCAATTTGCAGCCCAGCGCGGCGCAGTTGGCGTGCCTGGAGCGGATCGAGCAGGCGCATCGCGACCTCGGCACGCCCCCGGCCGACTTGCATGGACAGGGGGCCCTGGAGGAGCTCCTGTCGAAGCAGAGCTACGGCGGTTCCGCCGGAGCTGTTGCGCCCCTCGAGGTGGAGCGGGTGGCCTTACCCAGTCTCCAGCGCCGACCTGCTCGCGTCCAGGATGTTGGCGGCTCGGCGGGCGTGAAGGTTCTCGAGGTCCTCGAGAGTTTGGTTCGGACGTCCGAAGAGGGCGAAGCAGAGGAGGAGCGACAGCAGCTGCGGCGCGCCTACAACGACCCGCTGATCAGACAGAAGCCGAAGGAGTATGCTAAGCTCCTGCGGATGCTGCACGAGCGGGGCATCGTCGAATATCGGCGCAGCTGCAAAAAGAGTGCGGGCACATTTTGTGTCTGGAAGAAGGGGGGCGAGCAGCGTCTTATACTGGATTGCCGCGTGAGCAATTGCTGGTTTAAGGGCGCCCCTGGAGTGAGCTTGGCTACTGGAGACAGTTTTGGTCGGCTAGAGTTCGAGGGGAACGAGCCGGTGCACGTCTCGGGAGTCGACATCGAGGTCGCCTTCTACTCCATCGGCCTCCCCGAGGAGCTGCAGGAGTACTTCGGGATGGAGCCTGTCTGCGCTGGCGCCGTCGGCGTGGGCTGGCTTGGCGGAGTGCGGCTGCGTCCTGGGGAGAAGCTGGTGCCCGTGCTGAGTGTGCTACCCATGGGCTTCAAGGGCGCTCTGTGCGTCTGCCAGGCCCTCCACGAGGCCGTGGCCGAGGGGGTCGCGGGCGTTGAGGGGGGCAACCGGCTGGTGGACGGGAGGCCAGCGCCTTCCGTTGCCCGAGGGCCGGCGCACACCGAGCACGTGGACAATTTCGTGGCGCTGGGCACCGAAGGCGAGGAGGGGCGCCGCATGGCCACCGAGGTCGGCGAGGCGCTGAAGGCCGACGGGCTTGGCGCGCACCCGGTGACCTGCAGCCGCGGGGGGGACACGCTCGGCTGGCACTTCGATGAGTGGCGGCCGGCCGTAGGCGTCGCCCCTCGCACCGCCTGGCGCCTCACCCTTGGTTTGCGAGAGTTACTGCGACGGGGTCGTGCGAGCGGCGCCCAGTTGAGAAGCATCGTTGGTCACATCACGTTCCGCGGCTTGCTCCGACGACCCATCCTATCTGTACTTCGCACTGTCTACGCTTTTATCGATCGTCATCCTGTTCGGGTTGCGCCTCTCTGGGGCACAGTAAAGCAGGAGCTGGAATGGATAAGTCGCCTGGTGCCCCTGGCCTCGAGAGAGCTCAACATGGAGTGGAGCCCCAAGGTCACCGTGTTCGACGCGAGCGAGTGGGGGTACGGGGTGATGGAGCGGCGATGCGAGCTCGGAGCGATCAAGTATGCTGGGCAGTACTCTGATAGGTGGAGGTTCACAAAGTTGGGGGAGCAACGGGTACGACCACGTGACGAGGAGGGAGTCTGGGGACAAGAGCAAGGTGATCTTCGAGGGGTGCCTGCGGTGCCCAGGTCTGTCTGGGGCGGGTGCTGGAGGCGCGTGGCTAGTAGGCCTTGGAACGTCTCGGGGGACCAGGTGATCTTGGAAGCTCGGGCCGGCGTGTGGGCCCTTCGTCACATTCTTCGGGGCAGCCGTGCTATAGGACGCAGACACCTCGTTCTCAGTGATGCCATGGCCGTTGTGCTCGGTGTGGCAAAGGGGCGGAGCTCGAGCCGGGCCATGGGGCGCTGCCTTAGGCAGTGGGCTGCCCTGTGCCTGGCCAGCTTTGCCGTCGTCCACGTTCGCTGGATCTGCTCCGAGCGGAACGCGGCGGACGGCGCCTCGCGGGGCTCTGAGGAGCGCAGCGCCGCGGCTGCCCGGCATGCTGAGCCGCGGGCCGACGGATCGACGGCTCGCGAGCGCCTCGCTCGCCACGACCTCAGCGGCTTCGAGTTCGTGGATCCCGTCACCGGCGGCTTCATCGGCTGCGAGGGGACCGATAGCTTCGTCTTCCGGCCGCCGCCTGGGCTCGCTCACCCCAGCGATCCGAGCGGGGGTGAAGAGGAAGGCGAACGGGAGCCTGGGGGAGGCGAGGCGGCGCCGCCGGCAGGCCGCAAGCAGGGCCGCTGGCGCGAGCTCGGCCGCGCACCAGCTCGCGGGCGCCAGCCGCGAGGTTGCCGCCGACGGCAGGCGACGCGGCGCTGGTGGAGTGGCTGAACGCGCAGTTCTTCGAGGGCGAGCCCCTGGCGACCGGCGCGAAGATGCTGGCGGCGCTGGGCCACCTGCTCCCGGGGGTGCCCCGTGGGGCGCTGGAGCTGCGACGCTCGCGGCGGGCGCTCCAGGGCTGGAGGCGTCACAGCCCGTCCAGCTCGCGCCTGCCGCTGCCGTGGCCTGTGGTTGCTGCCTTGGTGAAGGAGATCCACGCGCAGGGGCAGCTGGCGGCCGCAGGGGCCACCCTTGTGGCGTTCGTGCTGCTGCTGAGGCCGGCGGAGACGCTGAGGTTGGCGGGCGGCTGCCTGGTGGCTCCGGTGCGAGGCGGAGGCCGCAGCCGCCGCAAGTGGTCAGTGGTGCTCCACCCCCAAGAGAGAGGAGTGACCTCGAAGGTGGGGGCGCAGGACGAGTGCATGGTGTTCGACAACCCCGAGTTCGACCTGGCGCTGCCGCTGCTGGAGTGGCTGCTCAAGAGCGTGCCGTTCGGGAAGCCTCTCTTCCCGCTGAGCGCGGCCCAGTGGCAGGAGGCCCTGAGGGCGGCGGCCAGGCGGCGGTTTCCCAGCCTCGCCGCGCCCACGCTATACCAGCTCCGGCACGGCGGCGCGTCCCACGAGGCGCTCACGCAGTTCCGCAGCTCGGAGGGCCTCATGCGCAGAGGCAGGTGGCACAGCCAGCGCTCCGTGAAGCGGTGCGAGAAAGGAGGGCGCGTCAACCAGGTGCTGCAGTCGCTGACGGCGGAGGAGCTCAACGCGGCGCTGGAGGCCGAGCGCACCCTCGGCGCGTTCCTCTCGCGGACATACCGCGGCTAGCCGGGGCCAAGGGCTTCGCGCTGGAGATCTTCGCGGGCAGCGGGCGCCTCAGCCACTGTTGGAGGCAGCAGGCGCCCTGGGGCCTGCCCATCTTCGAGATCGACGTCGGCTTCCACAGCTCGCACGATCTCAGCCGCAGAGCAGCTCAGCGTCTCATCCTGGGCTGGATCCGCTCGGGGTGCTGTAAGGCGATCTGCTGGGAACGCCCTGCGCGACCTTCTCGCGGGCGCGGGACTCCGGGGCCGGGCCGCCTCGGCTGCGCTCGGATGAGCAGCCGCTGGGCCTGGACGGGCTGTCGGAGGGCGACAGGGTGAAGGTGGAAGTGGCGAACGACCTCTGCCGCTTCTCCGCCAAGGCCCTCCTGTGCTGCCTCGAGCGGGGCGTGCCGGCGGCGTTGGAGAAACCCGCGTCGTCCCGCCTGTGGCTGACGCCCTACATGCAGGCCGCCGGCCAGCGGCCTGGGGTGAGAGAGATTGTGACAGATTTCTGCATGGATGGCGCTCCCTGGCGGGAGCGAACGAGAATCATGTATGCTCATCTTGACTTGAGTGCGGCAGCGCGCGTGTGTCATAGTGCTAGGAATGAACATAAGTGTGATCGCACTGGTAGAAGGCATGTTGTGTTGCATGGTAAGGGTCCCGATGGTAGATGGCTTACTAAGACGGCTCAGCCTTATCCTCGACCCTTGCGCAGGCGTCTTGTCAGTCAGTATCGTGCTTCCATGATTGCTCGTGCTGTGTGTAACCTAAGAGAGAGATTGATCTGAACGGCGTGCCATGTTTAGACTTTGGAGAGGTCTCAGTTTGGAGTTGACCAACGTATGAATTCATCCTCTGTCTTTGTGCGCGAGCGTCTTCCCTGCCAGCGAGTAGCCTTTCCACTCGCACATAGATTGACCTCTGCGAGGCGTGGCCATGGCGTGTGAAAGGTGGCAAGAGATCTGCCCGTACTTGTACATTGATCTTGGGGCCCCTCTCGAACGAAGTTGGCCGAATCTCGTTGCGCGGGCTCAGACAGAAACCGACCCCTTTCAACTAAAAAGGGTCGGTTTTTCTGGTGGCAAGCTAGAATATTGCCTATGTGTTTTCCGTAACTGTCTCGCTCAAGCTCCCTCCCTTATGCACTGTCGCAAATGTTTCTGCCCGCCCATGCTTCGACAGCGGAGTTGACCAACGTATGAATTCATCCTCTGTCTTTGTGCGCGAGTGTCTTCCCTGCCAGCGAGTAGCCTTTCCACTCGCACGTAGATTGACCTCTGCGAGGCGTGGCCATGGCGTGTGAAAGGTGGCAAGATATATATATATATATATTGACGCTTGTTCACATGCTATTGTTCTCTGGAGGGTGACACGTGAGGGCCGCTTCTCGCTTCGTAATCGTTCTGGCCTCAAGCAAACATTATGTCCCCTCGTTCTCCCATGCTCAGTGCGCTGGCCCCATACTTGGGCTACGCATCCCAGGTCTCGATCGCGTGGCTGAATCGGTGCCCCGCCGCGCCGGCCTGCCCAGCCTGCTCGTGTGCGGCGTGCCCCGCGTGCCCGCCCATCCCGGCGTGCCCAGGCGCGCCGTCGCCGGCCTGCCCGGCGGAGCCGCCTGTGTGTGTGGCTCTCATCGGTGGCTGCCTGCTCGGTGGGACCGCCGGAGCCTGCCTGCCCGCCCTGCTCCGTGCGCGGTCGCGCGGCGGCGGCGTGGGGGCGCGGGCCGAGCATCACCATGGCGGTTCATCAGCTACTCCCATGGGCATGGGTACCGTGCGCCGGCGCGCCGCCCTGGCACCAGCGGAGAGCGTTGGATCGCTCGAGGCCATCGGCGACTCGACCGACTGAGCCTTTTCGCCTGCTGATCACGACAATTCACCGTGGCGTGTACGACGAGCTGTGCGACATCTCCAGTGTGGGCATCCAGGGCGTTCGGTGTGCGGCTACACGTGCAATCCCGCCTGGCATGGATCGTGCTCAGATTCACCGCCTTCGGCGAGAGCCGACGGCGGTCGAGAGGGTGGCTTTCAGTGTCGGGACCAAGCAGGTGTGCCAGGACATCCGCGCCGCCGAGGCTGCGGCGCCCGGCGTGGTCTTCATGTCGGACCCCCTGGCGTGCCTCGAGCCGCTGGCGGAGTTCATGCCGCCTGCTGGCCCTGGGGATGGCGTGCTCGGAGCTCCTGGTCCAGGTGCAGGTGCTGCCGCCGGCGCGCTAGTGCCCGCTGGGCCGATGGCTGGCGCTGCGCCCCCGGGGGGGAGGCCCGTCGTGGCGGGCGCTGTGACGGCCGCTGGCCCTGCGGCCGCAGCGACCCCCCCTGACGCTACTGCCGCGGCCGTGCCAGCTAAGTGGGTCACGATCGAGAACATATCTTTCAACCCCCGCGGTGTCGTGGTCCAGTTCCCCGTGAATGCCCAGATCGCAGGGGGCTTGGCAATCTTCACTCCTCCTGGTCATGGTGCCGTCGCCATGCGCAACATCCGTGACCTTGACGAGGGGGTCTCCAGAGCCCCTGGAGCTGTGCACGATCCCCGGGTCCCGCTACAGGCTCATCACGCTGACCCTCGTCATCGTCGTGGTTATGCTGAGGCGGCCCGCGACATGTCCGAGTGTGTTGTGAAACAACTGGATGGTGCTTGACCCGAGGACCGTCCTCTGGTGCGCCCAATGGATGGAGCGCCGGTCCAGCACGCCTCTGTCGCACCACCGCTGGTTCACCTCGACGTTCAACCGGAAGGCCGACCAGTGGGGCATCGAGGCTCATGGGGCGGCGCTCAGGGCCCTCGAGGAGCGTCTGGGCTTCGACGGGACCGAGCCGTCCAACTTGGCTGGCGTCGAGATCATCATGAGACAGGCGCAGCCCACGGAGTACGTCTACTGGATGGACTCGCTCGGGACATCGGAGGAGGACAAGAATGCTGGTAAGCCCGTGATCTCATTCAGCGGCCTCAAGGATGAGTCCGGGATCTTCTCGGGCCTCAACAAGGGCACAGGCGCAGCCCTGATGTGCCCATCCTTCCTGGATCACGCCGCCGTCGACGTTCCGAGGAGCACGGCGATCTTGAAACATGCGAGGAAGGCCAATGAGGAGCGGGCTGCGCTCCTCAAGAAGCAATGATGCCAGACTTCCTCGACCCAGGAGCCCCCCCCGGCCTGGGTCGGTACGCGCAGTGGGGACCTTCCACACCTGAGGATCGTGCGCGCGATCTCTTGCCTTTGCCTCTCCCTCCTTTTTCACATCCCTCGAGGGGCGCCTCGTCAGTTTTTTCCAGGGCCACTCGTCGTCGTCTCGAGCGAGCGGGTCATAGTGACCGACTCGTCCGGGACATCGCTCAGAGTTTGAATGATCTCTTTCAGGGGTCCCCGTCTCGGGGGGGGGTTCTGCCACCTTCAGCTGCCCAGGACGAGGCTATCAGGCGAATCCGTCTTGCGGTGAACAGGATCGGCCCCCCCCCCGAGGGACTCGACGGGGCGGGAGCCTTGCGAGAGCTCTGCGCCCGGCGCTCTTACGATGGTGAGCCCGCCACCGTTGCGCCGATCAGCCCAGCATCTGTCTGCCTCCTGGACCTCCCTGCCCCGGGCAGTTCCCCTCGTCCTTTGGAGCTGTTGGGTGGTCCGGAGGGTGAAATTTGGGCTGATAAAAGTTTGCTCGAAACTTCTTCCTGAGTCCCTGGCTGCCGAGAGGCTTCAACAGGAAGCCCCCGCTAGAGCGTATGCAGATCCAGCACTTCGGCGTTCTCCCCGCCTGTATGCTTCTGTTTTAAACCGCTTGAGCGAAGCCGGTCTGATTGAATGGAGGCTAGGGTGCAGGGAGTCTGTGGGAGTTTTCGCCGTTTTTAAGAAGTCAGGAAAGCTGAGAGTCATTATTGATGGGAGACGGGCGAGTTGTTGGTTCTCTGATTCAGACCCCGTGCGCCTTGCCAGTGGCGCCTCGTTTGCGAGCATCTAGGTCGACAGTAAGGACCCTATCTGCGTTGGTGGGGTCGATGTGGCTAACGCGTTCTACAATCTGGCTCTTCCGTCTTTGCTCGGGGGGCACTTCGGTCTTCCTCGGATACGGGCTGGCATCGCCGGGGTTACTAGCATCAGTGGTCAACCGGTGGGCCCCTCGACATATGTTACACCTACGTTTGTTGCTATTCCTATGGGGTGGAAGCTGTCACTTTGGATAATGCAGGAGATACTCGAGCTACATTCTAGACGCGTTCCTGGCTTCGGTTTACATAATGCTCTCTACGACGGGAGACCGGCCCCCCCACTTCGTCCTCTTATCCATACAGAATATGTGGACAACTTCGTTTCTCTCAGTCAATCTCTTTCTGCTGTGCAAGCCGCTGCAGACAAGGTCTCGCGGCAACTCTCTTCGGCACCGCTGCCTGTTCATCCATGCGAATCGTCGGTAGGCGGCACGACGCTGGGTTGGCAGTTCTCGGCAGACACCGCTGAAGTGGGAGTGAATCCGGTCATGTGCTGGAAAATCCGCCTCGCTTTCATCGAGCTCTGTCGTCGCCGTTTCGCATCTGGGCGCACCGTGGAAATTCTTCCCTCACACTACACAACCAGGTGCTTCATGCGCCTTGAGCTTCTCTGTGTATTCAACGCCGCTTACGCGTTTGCCGAGCAGGCTGGAGACCGTGCAGTAAAGATCTGGCCATCTGTCCTTCGCGAGCTGAATTTGGCGAGCCACTTGATTGCGTTGGCTTATCGTGATCTTGGGGCCGAGTGGGACCCTGAAGTCATTGTGGTGGATGCATCCTCTTGGGGCCTTGGAGGCTGCTCATATTGGATGTCAGACCCTGACATTGCGCCCTTGGGGTCGTTCAACGAGCGGTGGAGGTTTACGCAGTCTGGGGAGAAGTCTTTCAACCCGCGTGATTCGGTTCTCCTCGCGCAGCGCCTCGGAGGTCACCATCGGGACTCCCCTCCTGAGGTCCCCTTGGGTTCCGTGCCCCCGGTCCCTGAGGCTCTGTGGGATGCCCCCTGGGTCCTCGCGGAGTCCAGAGCCTGGCGGCGCCCCGA